GCTATGCATAGTGTTATTGTAGTCTTACCATAGTATAATGTTAATCAACTTAATCAATGTATCAACAATAAGGCAAAGTGATGATATGCATCAAATAAAATTGTATAAACATCATAAACACTTGCAATGGTTGTTACATTCCTTATCCACTGTCTTTTCCATTTTATCTATCCTTAGTCCCACAAATGTCAACAGGTACAGTAGAATGCATTCGAATTGAGGAAAAGCATTCATTCAAATGTAGTATTGCTCCAAGGATGCAGCATATCCACCCTGCTTTCAATTTGCCTGAAACTTATTTACTTTCACAGTTTATTTAGACCCTATCCATAGGTCCCCTTTATTTTAACAAACAAAATTCTATTTCAATCCAAACTATACTTTCCAATAAGGAAAGTTGGGACATTTGATAATATCAATAATAATTCAGGAATCATTTTTCAACAGCTGACACTTAATGCCTAAAACTTCTATCCCAAATAGTCAATGATAAACCTTTTTAAACAGAAATAACAAATATGTCTTTAAAACAATCAAACTATAAAAACTTCTTTTACATAAAAGATATTTTAGTTATCATCTTTTAATCAACCTTTGAAAACTAATTACACTTGCTGTTGCTAAATTGTCCTTGCTGAAATATTGTGGTTATTTATTTATTTATTTATTTTTGGTAGCTAAAACACTAGATAATCTTAGGAATTTCAATCTGTCAAATAGTGGTGCTTAACAAGTCAAAATAATTTTAATATAATTTTCATGGAGATTTACAACCCTTCCTAGGATCCATTTAAAAAGTAATAAGGAAAAGTGGCACTAGAAGAAGGCTGTCTTATCCGAAAATTACTGCACTATTTTCTGTGTATCATTTGTTGTGGAGGGTGTACCAACAGCAACTTAGAGGAGGGGGGGGGGGGCAACAAAACAAAACAAGAGATGTGCTGGTTAATCAAGTCTTATTGATTAGCAGCATGCTTCAATACTTCACACAAATGTCTTCAGAACAATTTCTCCCAATCACAAAATCAATAAATCAACACAAAATCCTGGTAATTAAATTTATCAACTCTACATCAATAAATCTGGCACTTTATGAAAGTATTATGTGAAGTGTGTTCTCTTAAGAGATATAATGATCAAAGGCAAAGCACCAAAATTTCTATTAGAGCCAGGGATGCAGGTACAGACCAGAATCCTCCAAACAACATGACATATAATTGTTCAAATACACAGGGCAGTCTTCTTGATTTTGTGCCATTAAAAGAGATTAACTTCATAGAACAGACTCATCATTCAATGAATCTGAACATTCAAAAATATACACAGGGAAACCCCAACTTAGCATGCTTCACAATAAGATGATAATTCAGAAATATAGAGCATGTTAGCCAAGTTTAGATATCTTCCCCTACACTCAGGCAAGATTAGTTTGAGAAATTCTAAGAATTGCCAGCTAAAACCCCAAAGTGAAATAATTCGACTTCAACAATGTTATTCATTTGTCTTTTCACATTACTAAAATGTTTAACTACTTCAGAAATATTGATTTGAACAATGCCAAATAACCACAAATTCTTGGAAATGTTATCTATATTTTTTCCCTTTTTCAGTTCATTATATAGTTATATAAGCTAAAAGCGAGCTATTGATGGTCTCTTCATATAAAGGGCATAACACGAGTATCTGTTTACAGAAATATTCCTTAAATGCCTGCTTATTTTAAAATATGAATAAAAATCTAATTTCCTATTTATATGAAAGGGAAAATTACCATATGAAGGGAAAGTTTCTGAACATACTTAAAATTTGAGTGCCTGTACATTAGACTTAAGTATTACTAAAGGTAAAAATTGTTCATACACACATATAGAGAGATCAAGTACAGGATTAAGAATCTTGGGTGGTAATAGAAGGATGAAAACATACTCTATTTTCAAAAAAGATACAGTAATAATCCAAATGAGAGCCTTTATCCCATGAGAAGGGAAGATTGAAAAGTTAACTCATACAAATACCACTTACATATAGAAGCTTTATTCTATCGGGGGTGGGGGGGGGACAACAGCAATAAGGCTTTTTTACCATGCTATGGTTCTTTCATTTTAGACATGATTAATTAACAAGTAGTCCCCTCACCAAAACTCCCACCATGCTCTTTTTGCCTGGCTGCAGGGAGATCTACATGTAATAACAAGTAGCTATCAGCAGTGTGAAGTCCAGTGTCATTTATTTCAAGGAGAAAATGTCCAAAAGCTAATTCTACCAAGAGTTTCACTCATATCTTAGCTAAAAAACAGAGCAGGAGCCTTTAAACTCTTCAACAAAATGTTTTCATAACTTGAGTTTTTTAGGAACAATTTGGAAAAAAAAAAGTTGAAACAGTACATGCAACTATTTAATACTTAAAAAGTGCATACTGTGATTAATCTGACAAGTGTACTCAACTTAAAGTGGCAAAGAACAAGCAATCTTTATGGCTTAAATGTGGCAAAACTCTTACTCTATTAAACAAATAAAGATGGATGTACTAAAGGACACTCAAACGAAGCTATACAGTGGAGAACATATTCACCTCTGAAATACATCACATTTGTCTTTAATATAACTGACATAGTAATTAGCATATCGGAATTAAAGAAAGAGGGAAAAAGAAATGGAAGGAATGTAAACTTGAATTACTAAAAGCATTTTGGATGCCTTCATACTATTCCAAAATATCTCAAGATAATTTTGGAATCATGTGAAAGTTGTTGTGCACAACTTTAAGCAGAAAACCTACCTAATGACACTAGGTATCTACTAGGTCTATTAAAAGTAAGCTTCAGTTCCTGCATAGTGGGATCACTCCTGCACTCTAACTGCTACATCTTAAATATTTTATTCATACCATATAGTGCTAATAAATAGTTCTTGCAGGTTCTTAAAAATAGTTTTCTTCCTTCCTTTAAAGATCTCTACTGGTCCAATCCTTTCTTGCTTTTTCAGTTTTTATAAATTTAGGATCAAAAAACATCAAAGCAGTTTCCACCTCGGACCTAACTTTTAGAGGATCAATGTGACAAGTCGCTGCCTGATAGATGTTTCTCTTGATAAACGACTTGTTCAAAAGAGACATTGTAGCTTTCATTTCCTGACCACAACACACTTTTAATTTGCAACAGCAGAGCTGCTAGAGAATAGGGACTTTCCCACTTTCCAGTCTTTTAGGTTTGTGGCTCTGGTTGATTTAGGCCACGTTTCTAAACCAAACACAAGCTAAAAAAAAATAAAAATAAAATCCAATTAAAAATGAAAGAAAAGCAATGGAACTGCTTTTTTGTCTCTATATTATAAACTTTTCCAGAACGCTAGTAGCTGATTATATAAATCCTAAGTGATGATCATTTGTATAGTGGTCATTGAAACACATGCAGATATAAACTTGGCTGCGCTTTAGTAGTAAGCAGAAATTCGAGGGAAATGCATATTTGAATCTGCAGCTAAGTGACATGGATTATATGATGGCCTAACCCCAACATGTTCTTTATATATTATTGTAATGATTATTATTACAACTACCCAGAAATCACATTTAACTATCAATACGGTGAACAGCCAAACCATCCAATTTCAGCTCTCAGTACATTGTCCAATCTCCGATTTAAAATTTATAAATGTAATATCCTCCTCATCACAAGTAGCAGCCCAATCTGCTCTGAATATATATTACAGCTTTAACATCACAGAGGGAAATCTCCCATCTGGCAATCTCATTCGCTCCAACAGCTCCGAGAGAAAAAGCTGTGCTCTCCCCTCCTTAAAACATTTCTCAGGGCAAATTATGTGCATCTAAAATAAACAGTCGTCTTATTGATCGCTTCAAAGTCAACAAGTTCCAAATGCAAAATTCAATCAAATCGTTCCTATTGTATAGGAGGTCTGCGCGTCTGTTTAGCTATATGGTCACCTAGAGAGAGTCAAACTAGAAGAGCACGGCTTGTGCCGCTGCTCTTTGAATCCTTCTCCCTTCCTTGCATTCACATTTGCGTGGTGAGAGCAGTGACCAGGACCGCACTCCAGACCCCTAGCAGCTTTGCCCCATCCTTATTTCTTTTCTTTTTTAGATGTGGATGGAGAACTGGAAGGGACGTAGAGGATGTGAGGAGATGGGAGAAGTGGTGGCAACAACAGTGGTTGAAAGTGAACATATCCTTTGGTTATGCAAAATACTTCAATATCTTTTGTTGTTGTCCACTCTTAGTCTTAATTGGAAATCTGAAAGTATACATTCTGCTTTGCAAAGAGTGCTATTGAAGTCCCCTCGCTCCATTTTATCTGACCTTTTTTTTTTTTGGTAGCGAAAGAGGAATGAGAAATTTAAAATGAAGTCAATTCGGTGCCTATTTAATTGTCACATGTTCAAAGTAAAAAGCATTGACAGGAAGACAAGTACAACACAAGAAAAAATATCACTTTGTTCATCACTAGTCATTAAAGATATTAAACGATCAAAATGTATTTTTGTTTACATGCAAACCATACCCCTTCCACACACTCACTACTGAACACACATTCAGAACCGATTATCCCATAGAATGAAATCATCTGCAAAGTCAATAACATCAAGTTTCAAAAAGAAAATAAATTATATTTGAGTGTACACACATACATACATATATTTGTTCATTAGTAACCGTCTTTCTCTATCTCCCCTCCCCCAAGTCTCTGAGTTTGGTTCATTTACATACCATTTGAGTTTAGTAGTGTTTATAGTGCATTACTAGTAACATGCAACTTTGAGATTATGGCTAAAATCAATAGAAGTGGACATAAGTAATCAAAAGCTGAAATGGCCAAATGAAAGCAAAATAAAAAACATTGTAATAAATTAAGATATAAAAATATAAATTATTTATTGTTATCATATGTTTTACATGCAAAATGCTCACTGGTTTTATCATGCTATTTCATTTGTCTTTCCTATTTAGATGCAAAGGAAGTAGATCCCAAAACTGACATACCATAAACACTGGTGCTACTGATCATTTCTTGCTGGCAGCACAAAAAGCTGAATTGGATTTCTCACAAGCAGGAATTCCAAAGGTTGCTTTTCATTAAAGCCACTTTTCCTCTCAGCTATCAAATGTCACTGCCTTGAAACGTGGGCCCTTTCGTCAGGTATTCATTTAACCTACATGCATATAATTAAGTGGGAAAGCAACATCAACAAAAAGGGGATCTCAGATCACAAGAGAAGAAAGAAAGGAAAAAAAGCACATGACCAGGAATGCAAGTCCATGTCAATTTCACTCACTCCCATTGAAACTAACAAGAGCTCCAGGGAGGATAGTAATAGGATCAGTGGATTGTATATACCATTAAATTATACATCTTTCTCTCCCGTTCCCAGCCAACAATACGCCCACCACGCTGTACCCCCTCCAAGATGATGTGCTTACATTTTACTGCAACAGATCCTCTGACATTTTCCCGTCCCCCCCAGCTAAGGGATTGTAATTTAACCTCAACTTTTTTTTTTCTCCAAGATTCTTATTTACACTTCTTATTTACTTAGAAGTTAGTTCCCGAAGAAAGTCTGGCCCCACCCTGTACGTCCACTTTCTTATTTTTTAAGTAAAGGAAAGAATAAGTAAATCCAATTAAGAGGAAACCGGGAATCTTGCAATCTCGAACTCTTAATCTCATACTATTGTTATCGATGATTAAGCAGCAAAAAATATGCATTACAATGTTTTAGTGCTACTTTCTACATAAGATTAGACAGTGGGTTGGCGTACTTAATATAAACGATTGCAAGTTAAATTAAATATTTACAGTACAAGTCGCCGGTCTCTTTTTATTGCAGGTCTCAGATATATTTAGATTAAAAAAAATTTTTTTAAACAGATAGTAAGAAACTACAAATATTCTCTTACCTGAATGTGTGGTGCAAGAACCCGATAGGTTAGAGTAGCATCGATCCGATGTGTTTGCTGATGAATGGGAGCTCGGGTTAAGTGAAGGTGCCTATGATTTGAAATCATTCCAAGTTTTTGAAGGGAAGACTGACTGCAGCCTCTGCCATGTTGGAATTTCAAACCCAAAACAGCTGCTTGGAAAGAGCCAGCATGCCAGAGGCTGGGCGCAGGCGCAGAGCGCCGCCGAGCCAAATTCAAATCACTTTCACACTAAGAGCCAAAGATCAGTTTTCAAAGGAGAGAGAGAGAGGGAGAAAGAGATCGAGAGAGGCTGAGGAGAGGGAGAGAGGAGAGCCAGCGGAGACAGCGGGCCAATGCTAAGAAAAGAGAGAAAGGGAGAGACAGGCAGAAGAGACAGAGGCAGTGGAGAGAGAGGGAGGCAGAGGAGAGCCAACAGAGAGAGGGGGAGAAAGATAGGAGGGAGGGAGAGAGAGGGAGAGACACGCAAGAGATTCATGTGCAGGGAGAGCTCAATGGCTACGCTGCACAGGGCCCTGGCTGCACGGGTCATGTTACATGGCTGGGGCTGCTGCGGCAGCACAGGAACGTGCAAACGCTGCCTGGAGGTGGCCAGGAGGTCATGATTAAGCGGGCGGGGAATCGAATCGTTTTTTCTGCTTCTCTCTCTTTCCTCCTTTCACTCCCCAGGCATCCCAGTGAATGAGGGGAAATACCTTGGGGAGGGGGATCATCCTCTCTTTCCCACCAATGCCGCCGTCCCAACCATGTTGGTCAGAGGTCCCCCAGCTTTCCCCTCTTGGGCCACACGGGTGCCTCCAACTCCCCAGGCAGCTGCAGTGGCTGTCCTGATCCCATACCCCCACCCTCCCTGCGGCAGGGACACAGAGACAGTGCCTTCTCCATATCCCTCTACCAACAGCTGTGACCAGATTGCCCTCTACACCCTTACACACGCACGCACAGAAACACACACACTCACTCACTCCCACTCCACCGTCCTCCTTTCCCCCCGCCACTGCTCATCTTAATCCTTCCCCCATAGACCTAAGAAAACCTCGCCTGGTCCGGGGGACCTAGGTCCCCACCCACGCCTTGTCCCAAGCTCCCAACACCAATCAGAAAACAAATGACTAAGGCTCCAGAGAAGAAATAACTTCAGGGGAGGATAAAGAATTAGTCTACTCGGGCCCCTTACCGCTCCCCCACCCCACCCCCACTCCCCAAAATGAATAAATAAAACAAGTGACTAGGTGTGCGGTCCTCAGTGTCTCTCCTCCCTATCTCCCCCAGGCGGCTTTGGCTGAGGAAAGCAAGCGCCCGGGGCCCCCAATCCAGGCGGGTGAGCCGCCTGCACAGGCTGCTTTCCCGACCCCTCCCCCCACTATGAAGCAATCTGGGGACCCTGGAGTGGGAAGAGGGTTGAGGCTTTGTGGTGCCGGGAGCGGGGCGGGAGTGGAGGGGTTGGGGGAGTGAAATGTGCAGTTCTGTGTGTTGCTCGCATCCCAGCGAGCAGTTGCAGTGCTGATTGTCTGTTGCTGAGATAGCCTTTTGTTCCGAACATTAAGGTTTAAGAAACACACACACGTTTTCTGGGGTCTCTTGTTAGATGTAAATGTGCTGCATCCAGACGCTTACTATACAGTGTAAGCTCAGTTGGCTTACTAATCACCCCGCCCCACCCCCAAACAATCGTGATCATTTGAATGGGAACCTCATTCACACTTCTAGGCTGCGAGTATTGCCTTCAACCTATTTCATTCTAGAGTAGCCAACCATCCAACTGAGATAATAAAGCAAACAATAATATTTGATCATGATGTCTACTAGATAATGTGCCTGGCAAAAAGTTCTTTAGGAATTGTAATGAGAAAGAGAGTGAGCTGAGCCATAATATCTCTTCCTTTTCATTAAATATGACTTTAGTAGATAAATGGATAGTTTATACTTTGGCCTGGTAGACATCATCCACTACTCTATATTTCAGCCCAGCCAAGAATGAAGAAGGTGAATTGCAGGGCTGATCAGGAGTCAATCAAACTGGAAGTATGTTACCCTTGAAGGCTGGAGTTAAAATGCACTTGTTTAGGACTGACAATTCAGCACAGGGATGTTAACATTTTCCAGTTTCTTTTCTAAAGTTCCTCAAGTAAAGGCAAAAATGTATCTTCCAGATGTAAAAATGCTGCCTGTTTAAAATGTAGTAGCTTTGACATTGTGTTCAATTGTTACGTTTCATACCACTGGTTGATGGACTTGTCTAGCTCAAAAGGGGAAATAAAATAAATGCTAATTAAATAGAGGGCAAATGAAAGTGAAATAAACTATTCAGGGTATTACCACAGAATTGTTAGGAATGAGATTTCTATTTGAAGTGGATTCTGACCTTTCCATGCATTTCTTTCTGGTTAACTTAGAAATAAAACAAAAGAACTTTTAGTCTGACGAGAGGTGGAGCATTGAACCTCCTTTTGTGATATTTTACAAAATATATTTAATAATGTATGTATTCATTTAAATAATAGCATAAAAGAAATTATTGTTGGATATCTGTTGGTTCACTTATGAGTGCACAGAGATGAAAAAACTATAAGCAGAAATTAATACTTTTAGCAAGCTAAATTTTACTGATGACACTCAGAAGTTATTCTTGTTCAGTAGGAATGAACGAAAGATGCCCTTTTCAATTTAAACATGTTGATCTTTGTCTTTATTTAGTGAAAGAGACCAGAGATCAGCAGGTCTTTAACAGGTAATTCTTAGCATTTATTTGCAGTTTCTTATAATAATCAAAATGTTGAGTAAGAATAAAAAGTCAATATAATATACTGTCACATCTAAGACAAAACATTATAATGATTTAACAAAGCATTTTATCCAGCAAACTCTAAAACAAAATAGACACGTATACATATCTGTTGTATGCTATGCCATGCTTTGTTATGTCATAGTATATTGTAGTATATTTAGCAACTTTTTTCACTCATATTATATGCATATTATCATTATTTCATCCATTATATATATGTTCCTTTGAAGTATACATCCAGATATACAAAATAATATATAACACAACATGCACATCAATGTAATTGACTATGAAATCAAAGGAAAGCTATCTAGTAGGACAGACACTTCATCTATTTGCATGGAGTTCTAAAATTGCTTAAAAATGTATACCTCTAGACAAGAATTCTTTAATTGGATATATTGTGGAATATCCAGATGAAATAAGCTGCGCTTGGATTTATTCAATATTATTTCATAAATAGAATTATTGCTTTTTTTCAGTATTGAGGGTTGAGAGGTTCTAGATAAAAGCTAGCTAGTTAGTTACTAAGTCAACCAGCATTTAAGGGCTTACTATGTTCTAGGCACTTTGCTAAGTGCTGTTTTCTCAAACATTTTTTTTTTCAGTTACAGGAGACATAACAACTTTGTTCTTCACAGAGATCAATTGCTTTTATCATGAAATTAGCACAAAGTTTATTTTTTTTATTGCTGTGACAGAGCTATCTTTAATGACAATGCTTAGACAGTGATGTCACATTTTAACAGGCATTATCAATCCATTGGCATGATTTTTTAAGACTTTTTATAACAAATTAAAAATTTCTGGTTCTAACTGAAACTTCAATAATGCACTTTTTATGAGACCTAGATTATACCTATATAGGTATAACAGACTGACCCTTTTAACTAAATTGACCAGCCAATTCAATGAAATAGTCAATTTGGTCAAAGAACTGATTTTGACAGATTTTTTTTTCCTTACTGAATTAACCAACTGGACCAGCTGTTCTGCCATCATTTAGACACGGCCTTGATAAAAGTATTTAAAATAAAAGTTACTCCTAGAATGCAGTGGACTCTAATTTAGAAGAAACAAAGGCAAAAAAAAAAAGGAGAACTCTTTGTTTCCCTTCAATAGCTTTGGGGAGGGGGGGGGGGGCGGAAGCAATGTAATTTAGAGGGAAGGAAATCTACTTTCTTGCGTTCAATCTCATCAGTACACATAAAGTATAAGACTATATGAAGGATAAGGAGAAAAGCAAGGTGATACTGAATGTAGCCTTGCAGATGGCCACTCACAAACCTATTTCAAGCTAGTAATGATTTATGCCAGTCAAGTAACAGTGCTGTACAGTGCTCAATTGTGAGGGGTAGGGGGTGGGGTAGGGTGAGAAGAGCTAATAACTATTTGGTAGAAGAAGATAGGAGAGATGAGTTGGGGAGACATGTTAGCAGACTAGTAGATTATTAGTATATATCTACAAGCCTGTTTTGAATAATGGATCATTTTCTCCCTCTGGAAATACCAAGTATAATTGAACTTATTTACCTGAAGATTCTCAGTAGTTTCAAACTGAAGAACAGCATGTTGTAATGAAAGCTCAACTAATCAGGCCAAAATACAAGGTTACCAAAAGATTACTTGGATTCAAACCGTGGACTCTTTCTTCATATTACCCACAAAAGTCAAGGTGGTACTTAATGCAAATTAGTGACACAAAAGATTCTCTTTATAAGTTTCCAAAAAATTGCTACTTTTAAGCATCATCATTTGTACCTCTGTTTTCAAGACAATTATGCATGAGCCTACTTAATTGTAAACAGCCTTTTAATATGTCATGCACACAAAATATTAATTATAAAAAAGAATACAAGACCTTGGCTATAAGGACATAATTATACAACTGAATAATATTACATGATAGAATTAGGATGGTAAAGATAATTTTTATGGTCTCTTCCAATCATTCCAGAGACAAACTACAAAATCCTTAGTTATATATAACACCTTTACTTGGGATAATTATACAAGTATGTTGAAATATTTTACATTAAATTGCATATAGTAATTAACCCTGTTTTCACTCTTTTTGAAGGGAAAATATACTTAAAACTCTGATTTCTTTTTTTTTTTTACTTTTGCTGTTTTACCTGTTCCTGGTTTTTAAAAACTCTATGGTAGGCTAGATGTCTTGGTACCCCTCACAAAATTTGGTGATGAGCTTCCTAGCATTACTATTGAATGGAAGATTCCATAGATGGAAACATTAATAATTTATTTGCATTAGTTCATGAGTGTGGTATGCTCAATACCTAATATCCTAAAATCCCAGTATGCTGAAGGCATTCATTTAGCATAGAA